GGGGGGGGGGGGGGGGGGGGTTTACTGTACTATTAAACATAAACCTTGACCTAGTCTATCAAATATTTATTACTTTTTTGTAGGGACCAAGAATGTGATAAAAACATTTTTTCTCCCCGTCGTAGTCCAAACGATACTCATCATGCTGGATTATAATCTGTTTTTTAATTTATATTTAGACAAATTTTATTATGTAGTTATTTTTTTAAACTCAACTCAAAGTTGCTTATGTGTATAATACTGTATATGATAAAAAGAAATATTTATTCTTTTAGATTTTAAGTAATTAAAATGATTCTTATTGTTGATACTCAAATATTTTTCTTGATTACAAAAGATTTATTACAATGTACTTATTATTCAAAAATACATAAATAGAAATATTTTTATTTTTTAATTAATGATACTTTCCAAACCATTTATAATCAACAGGAGATAACCAATTTCTACAACCACCCATATTATTCTGTATGCAATATTTCATGGTATATGGATTAATATTATTTTCTTCATCAGATATTTCTTTTTCTTTAATTTTATCTAACATTTCTTGAGAAATAGCCATTGCTTTAAATGGTAATTTTGCAGCGATATCGTTTAAGAAGTCTTTAACTTCAAGAAATTCACATTTTCCACCTAATTCGACAATTACACGACCTTAAAGAAAAATGATACAAATTTTATTTTGCAATTCCAACTAAATCAATTTCCCACCTGATTTAACCGGTGTTACATAATGATCAACAGCTCCTTTTCCACCACCCATGCGATGTCCTTGCCCCTTTTTAGTCACCGGCTGCCATGGAGCATCAACTCTCCAAATAGCAAACATTCGACTAGTATCCATTTCCCTACCAATCCTCAAACGCAACATTTCAAAGTGACCCCATCTTAAACGACCACCCCCAGTTGCAATAATCCCATATTGTTTATACAAAAATGTGTTATGTACCAATTCAGGACCTCGCATTAATTTTAATTTCTTCTGCATTTTTGGGGGTTTAATACTTGCTGGATATTGAGGTACTTTATCAAAGAAACGTAATTTCGGTTTTTCCGGGATTACGACATCTAAAATTATGTATTAAAGTAATTTTTTCTTAAATTATAATTTTTTTTTACCATTGTATTGCTTTGGAGGTTTGAAAAATTTCATTCCGCATGTTTGGACTAGATTAACAGCGGGGGCTTAAAAATAAGATTTAAATACAATAAAGTAAATTAATAGAGTGAATTAATAAATAAAAACCTTTAAATATAAATTTCGGTATATTTGAGGTTATCATTTTTTTAGGTTAGGTTGCCAAGGAATGTCATGTCTAATTTGGAGTAAAAGTTCTATTGGATTTAAAAAATTTTAAGAAATGAAATTGTTTTAGATTTTAATTATATGCGTTTATAAATAAAAAAGTATTCACATATTTAATATATATTGTAATAAGTAGGAAATTAATTAATTTGATTAGGTTTTAGAAGTTTAAGGTTCGATTGATTCTTATAATAAATATTTAAAATAAAAAAAATGTATTGCTTATTTCAAATTTAATCGTATAAGTAATACTGATTAATTAAACTTATCATACAAATCAAATTTGATTTAGAATGAAACATTTATTAATTAAATAATTATTTCTATCCAATGGAAATTCTAGCAAATACATGACATTTTATGTTTATGTCAATAATACATAACCTCATTTATTTTCCGCGTTTTTCGTAAACCGTTATTGCATGAAATAGAGTTTTCAAAATGGATTTCTTAGAGTATTCCGATATACAAGCGGAAATAAAAGGATTAATGGTAAATTTACCTAATTATTTATCAATTCATAATAAAATTAATCATTTATTTTCTCTCAAAATGTAGACTCCTGGTAAATTAAAAATGACCGATCAAAACATAGTTTTTAAAAACAGTAAAACGGGTAAAGTGGAGCAAATACCCGCTACAGAAATGGATGTTGTGAATTTCCAAAACTTTGTTGGTACATGGGGGTTACGTATATTTTTGAAAAATGGTTCCCTTCATCGTTACGCCGGCTTCAAAGACTCAGAAAAAGAAAAGATTGCGAAATATTTTACGTCAATGTATAAGATTGATATGTTAGAGAAGGAGCTTAGTTTAAAAGGATGGAATTGGGGTATTGCTAAGTTTAATGGCTCCGTACTTGGCTTTGATATCGATGATAAAACAGCTTTTGAAATTCCGTTAAATCACGTTTCGCAATGTATCACTGGAAAGAATGAAATTACGATGGAATTTCATCAAAATGATGATGCTCCTGTTAGTTTAATGGAAATGAGATTTTTTATACCTTCAAATGAATTAGCTGGTGATTTAGATCCTGTTGAAGCGTTCCAAAAACAAGTTATGAACAAAGCTAGTGTTATCAGTGTCTCTGGGGATGCTATAGCTATATTCAGAGAAATTCAATGTCTCACACCACGGTTTGTATTTAATTTTAAAACATTTTTATGCCTCCATGCACTTCATCCACATTACCTCTGGTTCTTGGCTAATCCCTTTATATCAACCCAACCCAACTTCTGCTATTCTTTCATCTCACTTCTTCCTAGGTCTTCCCCTATTTTTCTTATCCTTATTCTTTGCTTCAGTAAAAATTTCATTTCTATTGCTGTGATCTTTCCTTCTTGTTTATCTTGGAGTGTCCATGATTCACTGGGATATGTTAATATTGGAAGTGCCACCATGTTGTACACTTACCATTTTGTCTTTTTATCTATCTCCTTCTTCCCAAAAATTGTTCTGTTTAGTTTAGAGTATGATATATGTTGTTTGTTTTCCTTATTCTTGCATTTATTTCTAAATCTATCCTTCCATCTTGTGCTATTATACTGCCCAAGTACTCATATGATGATATTTCTTCTATCTTTTATTCCTTAATAAAAATTTCTTTTGTGTTATTTGTTCTAGGCTCATCTTTTCAATTTTTTCTGTCCACATTTCAACCAACTTCCTTTCCTTTTTATGGTTATATGATATAGTAAATTATCTATTTTTAACTGTTTTTAAACATTTATAACCTATTACTGTTTGATATTTACCTGTTCTTGTTGTTGTGTCTTTTATTACTCTGTCCATTAATATTATAAATAATAAGGGACTTAGGCTATCCAGAATAAGGATACAACAGTTCTTCTTTTAAAATCCTAAATACAGAATAGCATATGTTTAACTCTTGGGTAACAACCAATCTGTGAATTTATGTCAAATGGCTCTAAGTATGATTTTATTTTTTTATGGTCAAACTAACAATTTTAGGAGAAAATATTAACAGACAAAAAAATTGCGGAATAAATCCCTTTATTTAAATCAACTTTATAAATGAAGAAATGTAAACGCATTAAAAAGTTCTGATGCAATGTAATAACTAATAACATTTTAGGGTTACAAAAATCGTCAAAAGGTGTCATTTTATTAGCAACAGTTATCTGCCAAATTTCGTTCTTCTAAATTCCTCTATAGTGGATTATTAAATCAAAACAATTTTTTCCCCTAACTTTAGAGGGCTGTAATTTTTGCTGAAAAATCACCCCTTGAATTTTTCGCATCAATGAGATATAATAAGATAAAAAAAAATGCGCCCCCCATTCTGAATTCTCGAAAACGGACATCAGATTCGTCATCAGCGACCCCTAAAACCCCTAATGACATGATTTCGCAATTATTCGTAAAATAATTACACTTATCTCCAAAATCGGAAAGAACGATTTCTACCCTTAAAACAGCGATCGGGCAGAAATGACAATATACGTGTCGAATATTTTTCCATACACTACTTGTGTGCCAAATTTCAAGAAACTCACCGTATGACACTTCCCTAGTGTTACTTGTTAGAAGCCACTCCTTCCCTTTGAATCCTAAATATTTTATCATCTCCAGATCTATCTTGTCTTTGTCGCAAACCTTGTCTGTTTTCATCTTCATCATTACCTCTCCTAATTCTTCCATTGTTATCTCTTCAGTTGCTATGTGTGTAGTGTCTTCCCTTATCTCATCTTCTGTTCCCTCCCCCATTGATTGCGTCCGTTTCCCATCCTTGAACTTTTCTACATAAAAATCCGCCCATATGGCCAGAATCTCCCTTGTAGTTGTTTTTATCTCTGACGGCTTTTATCTGTTGCCTTTGATCTCCCTGCAGTTTTCTTATTTGTTTCCAGAATTTCCAGCACTCTGTTCCGATTTGTTTCCAACTTTTCTTTTTCGCCTCCCTTACCATATTCTTACATCTCTGTTCGTTCTATAATTTGCTCTATCCTCTTCCAAATTCGTTCTTATGTGTTTCTTCCATGCTTTCTTCTTCTTGATTTCGTGTCGGACCTCTTCATCTGATTATTATATTTTCTCATTCCACACACCTCCATAACTTTATTTCACATTATTTCTTTAAAAGTTCGCCACGTTTCCTCCAGTGTTAAATTCTCTGTTTGTTCTAGTTTTATAATCGTTGTTTGGTTTTTCTTGGTATTTTAGTCTTTCTTAATCCTGCTTTAGTTTATGGCTGTTTATTTTAATGTAGGTTTTCATTTCTTCAACTAGTCTGTGGTTGGTTCCCATTTTTGCTTCTGCTTCAGTCTTTACCTCAACTCTGTTTTGGAGATTCCGGGTGTATATGATGTAATCAATAACACTCTTAGCATTCCTTTCTTTCGCCACAAACGTATATTTATCTTGCCTCCTATACTCCTTCATCCTTTACAATTATTTTGTTGTATTGTAAATGAGCTTTAACTCCTTTCCTCCTGAGTTCTCTTAGTTCAGTCATCAAATCATATCTTTCTCTCTGAATTTTCTTAGAGTAGTCCTCATCTATCCATATGTTCGTTCTTTCCAACTCTTTAGCATTTTTTAGGATATCGATCCTAAAAAATCGATCCTTCCTTTGTTAGTTTTACTAATATCGGGCTATTGTTGTTTTCTGATTCCGATATTCCTCATCAAGTTAATCACCTCATTCTCTCTCTTTTCAAAACTTATTACCACATTTTTACGTCTTACCTCTCTTTGCAGCATATCTATACGTTTTACCTGTTCCACAATCATCCCCTTAAGTTGCTCATTTTCCCTTTTGTATCCATTATTATGCAAGAATAAAGAATTTAATTTTAATTTATTAATTTCAGTGGCCGATACGACATCAAAATTTTCCAAACTTTCTTTCAATTACACGGGAAAACGTTTGACTATAAAATTCCTATGTCAACTGTGTTACGTTTATTCTTATTACCACACAAAGATAGTCGACAAATGTTTTTCGTGATAAGTTTAGATCCTCCAATAAAACAAGGCCAAACTCGTTATCATTTTTTGGTTCTCCTTTTTGGAATGGAGGATGAAACATCCATTGAATTACCTTTTACCGATGAAGAATTAAAAGATAAATATGAGGGTAAATTAGAAAAAGAACTATCCGGGCCTACATTTGACGTCTTAGGTCGCGTTATGAAAACAATTATTAATCGAAAAATAACCGGAACGGGGGGTTTTATTGGTCACTCAGGAACTCCCGCTGTGGGTTGTTCATTTAAAGCAGCCGCCGGGTATTTATACCCATTAGAAAGGGGTTTCATTTACGTTCATAAACCACCTCTCCACATACGATTCGAAGAAATCGCAACAGTTAACTTTGCGAGAAGTGGTGGATCAACGAGATCGTTCGATTTTGAAATTGAGTTAAAATCTGGCACGAATCACACTTTTAGCAGCATTGAAAAAGAGGAGTACGGAAAATTATTTGATTTCATAACATCAAAAAAACTCCACGTCAAAAATCGTGGTAAAAACGACAAAGCGAATTATAAAGATGATTTCGGCGATTCTGATAATGAAAATGAACCCGACGCTTACTTAGAAAGAGTTAAAGCGGAGGCTCAAGAACGCGATCAAGATGATGATGGTGGAAGTGAAGAAAGTACCGATGAAGATTTCAATCCGAACCAAGAAGAAAGTGATGTTGCTGAAGAATACGATTCTAATCACAGCGGGACAAGTTCTTCTGAAGAAGGCGGATCCGGCGGTGATGATAAAAAACGCGAAAAGAAACATAAAAAGGAGAAGAAAACGAAGACAATTTCAGAAAAACCAAGAAAGAAACGCGGTAGTAAAAAAGAACGCGATGCTAATAAACCAAAAAGAGCACCATCGGCTTACATGTTATGGTTAAACGAAAACCGCGAAAAAATAAAATCTCAAAATCCTGGAATTTCCGTTATTGAAATTGCGAAAAAAGGTGGTGAAATGTGGAAAGAAATTAAAGATAAAAGTGAGTGGGATAAAAAAGCTTTAAAAGCTAAAGAAGAATATCAAAAGGCGATTAAAGAATATAAAGAATCTGGTGGTGGATCTACTCTTAATAAAGATAGTAATAAAGATAAAGATAAAAAATCTGCAACCAAAAAGAAACCTACATCTACCGTAACAGTTTCGCCACCGAAAAGCGGATTTAAAAGCAAGGAATACATTGAAAGCGATGGAAGTAGTTCGTCTGATGGCGAAAAGAAAAAGTCGAAGGATAAATCAAAAAGGAAAAGTTCTGATAAAGAAAGTAAGGGCGATAGGGACAAGAAAAAAAGTAAATCCAAAAAACAGTCTGATGATGACGATGAAGAAGAAGCTGAAAGTACTCCAGCTTCAAGTGGGGGATCTGGATCTGAAAGTGAAATGGATGTTGATTGAAACAGTTCGATTGAACATTTAATTTTGTAATTTGATTAATGGTTACTTACATTATTTTTTTAGAATAATAGTTATTTACATTGTTTTAAAATAAGTATTTTCTTGTCAAATATATGTTAATTTTGAGTAATAATATCTTGAATCATTTTTAATTGGGTTTTTAGGATTATCTGAAGTCTATATTTAACCTATATACATATACAGTGAATTTCACTTAAGATGCAATATACTAAAATATATTTGCATAGAAACCAGGGCGTACCTATGTATTTACTTTGTCCCACATAAAATGCAATATAATTTGACAATAAAACAGCTCAATAAAAATATACAATAACCTAGTGCAAAATAACGGCACGAAAACTCAGGGTTGTCTCAAGGACGTCATCTTTTTCCAAGCAAAACTTTTCCTTTGCAAAACTACCTAATGTCTGTACTATTAAGCTATGTTGCATTTTATGTGCGATAGTGCAAGTACACAGTAGTTTCGTAACTATGGTTATTGCATTCATATAGTCTAAATTCCCGGAATTTCTGGTATACACAAACAATGCTAAGTAATAGTCTCATGGATTTATGAGGGTTTAAATCGAATAAATCCATTAAAATCTCAAGGTCGAGTTTTCTTACCGGATTTTAATACTTTGTCTTATACAAAAAAGTCAAAAGGTAGTGTTTAATCACTATTAAATAAAAATTGTCGCTCCTAAATTTGTTCTTTTTTCGACCATGGGAAACTAAGCATTCCAAAAATCTAAAATAAAAAAACAATTTTTTAATTTTGAATTTATTTATTTATTTAATATACTACAAGAAACCATAATACAGATAACACAAAATCTAATTAATATTGAAATGCACCGCGCTACGTATTTTTTTACTTTCTTTTATTAAATACATATTTTTTTTAAATAAAACATAGCTTACAATCCGCTGAATACCACCATCGAAAATACTAGGTAATTTAAATTTTCCATTCTTTTTTAGTAAATACTAATAGATACTGTTAAAACACAGGATTATGATTTCGATATATAAACATGAGTATATTCTCACAAAAACGTACAAATTAAAGGAACAAAACAAACTAAATACGTAAAAGAAATACAAGAGGGTAAAATAAAAGGTTTCTAAAAACATCAACAAAAAATGTTTCTTTTAAAATCACATTATTATATTTTTCTTATCCAATACCCATTATTTTTTGTTTAAATATAAGTTAAGTTGGATTGGGCGATATTTTTTCGATTTTATTATGGTATTGCATATTTTATGGCACTTTAATACAAACAAAAATAATAAATTAGAAATCGTTTTATTCTCAATTAATTAAAAATTGTTAATTAATTAAATAAAACCGATTTAAGATATTAAAAAATAAAAGATAATTTCAACAAAATCAAAAATTATCCATATTTTTTTTCCATCTTAAACAAAGTTCATCTAATAAAAAAAAATTAACTCCTTGTGCCACTTTTCCATAATAAGAAATACTGGTTTTAATCACAATGACATCATCTTCTTTTCATCTTTTTTTTTTTTCAATTTTAAGTACCTACTTGTTTAACTCGTTAATTTAACTTATATACAATTCAACAACAATTTAAAACAAACCGCCTTTTCGACCAAAAAGCAACGTACTCAACGTACCCAAAGTCGTCGACGTTTGGTGTTGCTGCTGTTGTTGTTCAATTTGGGGTGAATTTTTCGTCGAAACTGTTCCTAAATCGGGTCGGGTCATTCCTTGAACTCTTCTTTGTTTCCGATTATTTAATTGTTCAAGTCGTTTTGCTAATGAATCACTTCCTGGACGTCCAGGAACTCCCAAAACACCACTATTTAATGACGATTTAACTACAAAAAAATTAAATTTTAAATTAAAAAAAATATAAAATATTATTACTTAAATAATTAAACAATTAATTACTTTTTTTGCTTTCTGTTGGTGTTGAAGGTGATTTAATGTTGTGTTTGGAAACGGAAGATGGTGGTAAAGGCGGTTTACCAGTTGTAACATTCTTGAGATTCTCTGTGCTTTGACTGGGAAGTAAACAGGTGAGTTGAGCCATGGGGCTGGTCAGCGAGGGTCTAGCGTATAATCCGGCGGAAATGGTGAGGTTACCTGGATTTACTAGCATAGTACTAATGCCTATACGTTCTATTTTATTCACTAAAGTCTGGAACAACAATTTTTTTTTTCAATATTCTAATTCTAAAATAATTATTACAACTATAAAAGATAATGTTTAATTACTAAAATCTTACTTCTTTTTGTTTGGATCTTTTTTGTCGTGCAGCGGATGTCTTCGAATGTGGCGGTAATTTCTTTTTTGTCCCACCAATAGTTTGCTGTACAAATTCTGGCATCGAACTTAATAAGAGTTGTGGAAGACTAAACGATTCGTAGTATGGTTCCGGAGATCGAGAACGCGAAGAACACGGACTTCCGTCGGGACTGTTACAAGGGGTGGCCGTCGGTGTAAAGCTATTCACGCCGGATGGTGTATTATAAGCGGAAGGTGTCACAGCTTTTATTCCTAAAATAAAGATTTTAATCAAAACTTTTTTATAATCAAAATTAATTAGACCCACCTCTTTCATTGAGCATTTTCGCCAATCCTAGCGTCGTACTGAACGTACTACAAGAATTCCTTCTACTCAACACACCATTCGGCGTTTGAGGCGGCGAATTCTGTATACTCGAACAAACGGAAGCCACCCGGCTCGCCCGGTTACTGGGCGTCACGAAAGTCGTTGTAGTACCATCATCCGGATGCATAACGGTACTGTTCGTTAACGTGTAAGTTGGCGCGGACGTGTCGAAACCCTTCCCGGGATTCCCATATTCTTCATCTTCCTCAAGGTCGCTAAGACCATACTGCTCCAAACCGATGTCTTCCAACTCTTTACCACCCTTAATTTTCACTCCTGGACGTTCCTCTAATAAACCGCTTAATGTTGGTTGTGCTAATTGAGACCATTGATGAAGCGATTGGGAACCTTCTAATGGTTTTACAATTTGAAGCTTTTCAGGGAGTTTCCATGGTTGGTATGTGTAGGAACCAGTTGACATTAAGCTATCTGGTGTTCTGCAACCGTATGGAAGGAAAGTATCGGTTCCTTCATAACTAAAAATAAACAAAACGATTAAAAACGATTAAAAAATTAAGCTACTTTCGATATCTTAAGAAATCTTAGAGCATATCTCAAGAATTAAAAGTGATTTTGCAAAACCTTGTCAATGAAAAACTGATACTTTTGTTGATATTTAGTGCAAATTCCATAAAAATTTTCCAACGATTCGAATTTTCCATGATTTTTTTAATAAAACCTAAGAGAACTTAAAAATCACTAGAAATTCCGATTGAGTTTAAGACAGTATATCTCAAGAACTAAAAGTGATTTTGCAAAACGGACCTTTTCATTGAAAAACTGATACTTTTATTGATATTTAGTGCAAATTCCATAACAATTTTCCCACGATTCGGAATTTCCATGATTTTTTTAATAAAACCTAAGAGAACTTAAAAATTACTAGAAATTGCGATGGAATTTAAGACAGTATATCTCAAGAACTAAAAGTGATTTTGCAAAACGGACCTTTTCATTAAAAAACTGATACTTTTGCTGATATTTAGTGCAAATTCCATACCAATTTTCCAACGATTCGAAATTTCCATGATTTTTTTAATACAACCTAAGAAAACTTAAAAATCACTAGAAATTCCGATTGAGTTTAAGACAGTATATCTCAAGAACTAAAAGTGATTTCACACAATAAAACCTACCCTCCATAAGTATGATGACCACACTGTAAATTCGCCCGACGTTGAAGTACTTCTCCTGGCGTTAACCGTTTCAAAGCAGCTTCTAAATCAGCAGCACCTGGAGCACCAGGTATTCCCTTTTGCGGGGCGGCTCTAATGTAGAAAAATTACAAAATTATTTTTGATGTAAACGAAATAAAATATTTTCTTACGGATAACCATCTGAATCAGAATCGGTGTGGAAAGATTCGTTGTCCGACTGCCCCGTAGAATCCAAACTTGGATAACCCAAAGAACTGCTGCTGTAAATAGAACCGGTTGATCGTCGGTTGTTGGTTCCTTGCATGTGTGAGGCCATCCTCGATCCAAACATCGTACCAGAGCTGGTTACAAAACCTCCGATTCCGCTGCTGCCGAAATTATTCAAACTTGCCAAACTATCGCCGCTACTCAACGAACTTTGTGAGGCGCAACGAACTGTATCAAAAACACGTTTATATTGCGGCCTAAAAAAAACAAAAATATTTTTAATTAAATAACAAAATTTATAAAAATAACCTTACAAGTTATCATTTGATATTCCTGAATCCATACTGTATTCAGAATGCATCGACATAGCAAGTTCGTTTTGTAAACTATCAAATGCCGCTTGCGAGGTACCCAATGAAGAGAATAAAGCGCTACGAGCAACCGGCATTTGCTTCTTCCTCAATTTTCGAAGTTGTTCTTGAGCGTCGCGTAATAAAGCTTCCACTTCGTAATAACGCGCTTTAAACTCTGCCAATTCAATTGCGATACTGCCCTGATTATCTTTGGTTATTTGAAGTAAACTGTTCATTTCATCGTTTTCGGTCATAAACTACACCAAAAAGGAATAAAAAAGAATTAAATTCATGTAAATGTTATGTATGAATAACATCATAAATCAATCTTATCTTTGTTGTTTATTTGAAGGTTAAGGTTAATGAAATATAAAAATAATTGATAATTGATTGAAATCTTACCTTGTGCAATTTTAATTCTGTATCTTGTAATTTTGCGGTAAGAGCTAAAATCTGTTCGTGTTGAAGCCGGTTTTCTTCTTTAACCCTATCCAATTCATCCTCAAGAAAAGTCATGCTTGAATTCGCACAAGCTACACCAAAATAAAACTTTAGAGAATGTTTATTTAATAAAAGAAACTTAACGAAAAGATTAAAACAATTTAGTGTAATGAGTCTTTTAAACCATTATTCTATGTAGTCTAAAGGTTGTTTTGCAAATAAACGCGTGGTTACGAAGTTCAAACTTAACTATTATAATAAAGGAGTCATATGACTATTTTAACCAGACTATAAACGTTACGTTTGTTATCTTCACCGGTGTTGTGAGATAACTTTTTGATTTATCTCCGTTTGACGTTATCTCTTATTTAAATAAGGAGGATTCGAATTTTGTTCTTTAAAACTGTTTTCGTTCTATTTCTAAATTTTTAGTCTATAATTAAACGAAACGTCTAATCCGTTTCTAGACAAACAAAGTTGTTTTTTGTATGCAGCGTAAATATTAAAACGTAATTTATGTAAATAAGGCTCAACGTTAAATTTGACCAATTCTTACCGAGTTGTCCGGTGATATCCATTAATAAACGTTGTTCTTGAGCCTCTGCATCGGTTGTGAATTCGCTTAATCGTTGACATTCATGTTTAAGGACTTTGTTCTCTTCCGCCAATGAAGCTAAAAATAAAAAATTACTACTTTAATACATAATTTATACATATTAGATTGCATTTCAAAATTATAAATGGACAAATTATTTTCCTTTTATAAATTTGTTTTTTGAAAGATGTTTGATTGTGTGGATAAGTTGCAAACTGAATCTTACAGTTAGGTCGCAATAGCTTGCTTTATCATTTGTTATCTGGATATCTTTCCAGATACTCAAATACGAAAACATATAAAAATATTTTGGAACGGTATCGAAGTGGTGATTTGATATAATAAATGATTGTCTCAATTTATTTGTCAACTTGACAAGCAGAGCTTTCCTTAAGCAACAAACAAATCACTTAATTTCTGCAGTCCAAAACCGTGTATTAAACTGTTTAGTTAACTGAAGAGGTTGCATCAGCAACTTTTTCAAACTTATTCTAACCTAAGTATCAATTCGGAAAAATAAAAATGAAACATATTACAGAGAAGAAGAACGCCTCTTGACCAAAATCGCTAGAGTTGAGGCTAGTACAAGTGGTTCAATACTCATTCGGGAATTTATGTGTCATTGAATAGACTCTGTCTCTTCCTCTTTTTGCACGACTAGAATTACTAATCCCCGGAAAAAAAAATCGTAATATTACATCAGCGGCTGAATGCATACTAAATTTCCTTTGTAATTTTTCAGCTAATACTTTACGAAAACGGTTCAGCTAACCGATAGATAAAGATTTATATTTAATAGACGTACAACATTTAGACAAAGAGGAAACATAACAGCGCATAAACAGTTTGAAATGAGATTAGGTATTAATCTAACAATTGGGTTTGTCTGCACTGTTGCAAACAGTTTTATTCCATGTTTCCGAAGATAAATTGATAAACGTCACTAACTTTAACTGTATTTTTTAAATTCCAGAAGAATGGTGATAGCTGTAATAACATCAGAAGTAGAGCTATGGAACTTACCTTAAGGATTTTGTCATAATATGACCAATATAGCGGAAGTAAACATGTCGCTATATCGCAATTTTACAATCTTTAAGATATAATCACAATCATTTTAAAGCTAGTAAATCCTACTAGAGGAGCAAATGCCGGGCAAATAATGTAGAACAGTAAATCGAAGATGCTATTAAATTTTTAGAAAACGTGAAAAATTTACTTTGCCACATAGAAAGATGTATAAACAAAGATAATACCTATAATAAAACGAATAAACCCCTACGGAAATAATCGCAAAACAATAAATATCTTTAGATAGAAGATCTTATCGATTAATAAACAAAAATTTCTACATAAAAGTAAATATCCTTCAAAATTTATAACTTGATAAAAAAATAATATAAAAGAACAATTTTCATTGTGAGAGATGCGGAAGTAAATCTAATTCGTTTCCTATTGTACAAGTTTCGTGGCATTCCTTGTTCTTTTTTTCTACAGCAAACGGTTTCTAGTTCACGTGTGAGCACATCACATGAGAGATTCAATCCAACATAAATTAGCAATTATGAATAACTGTATACGATTGTTTCTAAATATGTTTAATAATTATTAGATTAACCGCTTAATGGGTTTCTTTTATAATTAAACGAATTAAACCCGAGAAATAGATTAAGAGCAAATTAAATTTAAAATGATTCAACAATTATACAAGTTTGTTTTGAGTGGAAATATGATTATAGTTTCTATATTTATTAAAAATGTTTGACAAATTTTATTTAAATTTTAACTTTTGCGTATTTTCTAATTAAAAGATTACGTTTGTAACAAATCGTTTAATCCTTCGATGTGTCATCGACGAAATAAGAAAAAACTTATCTTCTATGAACTCACCTGCATGCTTTTGTAAAAAATCCAAATTAATTTTTCCTAGGCCAGAAATGTTTTCAAACGAAGACGCATCGTCCATATCATTGCTGAGTATTTGAATGAGTTCCGTTTTCTTATTATTTTCATGGGTGAGTTGGGTGTTCTTTTCGTTGGCGACCCGCAATTCATTTTCCAGCGATGCAATCGTATTCTCTAATTTACTATTCTGTTGGAGCAATTCCTTGCCGATTCTAGCGGTCAACTCCAGATCTTTCTCTTTTTCTTCAAGAAGCCTAGTTACCGCTTCTATATCATCGTAGGTGCTGGTCATTTGGCTCACGCGGTTACTACATAGAACTACAAAGAAACAAGAGTAATAAAAATAGGGGTTATGAGGAAATAAGGAAATGAGATGTTGAGGGAAAATAAACGTGTTCGGGTCGCCAAAACACAAAACCAACTAATCTTTTTCGCGCGGCATATTTCAATTTTAAACCAGAAATACAGGATATTAACGATAAAGATAACAAAAGTTGATTAGATAGATTTTATTATTGTCATCTAGAAATTTTTTTAATTAAACACGTGGTTAATACGTGAAAAGAGAAATTTCGACTTTTACGAATTTATTCTTATATTATTAACAATACTCTAAATATTTCGTTTAGAATGCGGAAAGAAAATTGTTTTTCTTTGATTAAATAAGCAAATGAACGGTAAAATATACGGAATATAAAAGCAACGTTTAAATAGTAGAGGGACAATGATAAATTATTGAGATAGTGGAAAGGAATCCGTTTGTAGCTTGAAGGAAAATCATCGAGTATAAGGAATTGCGAATAACTCGTTTGCTATCAACGTTTAACTGTTCACAACGGTTTTGCTACAAGTTATTTACTGGAATAATAAAATTAAGATATCTCGTTAAGTATAAATCTAAATTGGTTTGCGGTCAGTTATTATCCTATTTTCTTTTATTGGAAATTGTCGACTCTATTTCATGACACTCATTATAATGTTAATCAAATATCTAAATAATTATTAATGAAACGACAAGGTTTTAAAGATGTATAAAGTAAAATCTCGATATAACGGATTAATACGCGGAAAGGAGTGTCGGAAACATTCTAGATCTAGTTTTACAATTAGTTATATAAAAAATATACAACAAACTAACGCTGAATAACAACTAAAACTAGAACTAACACTAGCATTAGAACTAACAGTAGTTTCTACTTCTAGGTCTAGTCTAGTGTTAGTTCAATAAAAAATATACAACAACCTGGCGCTGAATAACAAGTAAAACTACCGTCCGTGATTTATACATCGACAACTTGGGGAATACCCCCCCAAGTTGTCATCATTGATGAGCGCTAACATTTATATTTAAATATTTGTAAATAGATAATATTAATGGTATGGCTTAAAAATATTTGGTTATATCGAGGTTTTAGTATATTCTTAAAAAATATGGATTAAACAAACAAATTGTCTTAATAATTAATGAATAAACTCAAAATTTCAAATAAACTCAACCAAACCTATTAAAAATTAGATTTGTAATTTACACCCAGTATAATAAATGGGATGGTATATAGTACACAATAACACTCCCAAAAAAATCAACAATTTATTTTTAGTTTAGAAACACTGCGACGTTACCATTCCTTTATCGAGTAAAAAAAGCACCGAAATTACGCAACAAAATTATATTTATATAGACGCATTAAACATACATAAGTGGTAGTGCATAATCTTGAAAAAGTGCATTTTGAATGTAAAACTAAGCAATAAAAGAAGTGATTTAAGCTGCTTTCTAACCAACCTTTCTTTGTTCTTACAAACGCACCGATCAAAAAACAAGAGTAACTATTTTGGCGTTGGTAAATTGAAAAATATTTGAGGTTATTCGTTGTTGGAAACGTCTCTGTTTATTTCGCATGCGTCGCCTTTAGGTGACGCCCTCGTCAACGGCGTTTTCACATGGTTGAAAATCGATGGTGAATTATCCAAAGGGAATTATTTTAATGAGAGTACAAAAAATTTAAAAGAAAGAAATAAAGAAATAGGAATACTTTAGGGGAATTGCTACGGTTTCAAAATTTTTTTGTAGTAATCCTTTTCAGAATTTGTAATATTTGTATGCGCATGCGTTTCATTTCAGTTCTTTTTTAGATTTAGAATAATTAATTAATTACTATTTCAAAAATATTTACTTTATACATTTGTGAAGGTTAAAGCGTGATGCAGCAAATTTAATTAATGTGAATTCTGACAACTTCATACATATTCAAAATACTTACGAAAATAGTTGAGAGTTTCTCGGATTTGATCCGGGGATAATTTCAAATCGGCCTCTTCGAGTGGTAAAGCTGGTGAAGGTATAAACCAATCTTGATTTTCGTATCCTGAAACACAGACCATAACACACCATTCTTAAAATAATATATATTTCATATTTTTAAACACTTTATGTTGTAAAGTGTCGAGAATTAAACCCCGATTGCATCCCAACGATCTTTACAATTAAATTAAAAACGCGAAGAATGGTTACGCAAAGTGTGTGAGATACAAAACATTTTTATTATTTTTGTACGAATCGCGTACAAGGTTAAAACGGTAGACCATAGTGAATGATAATAATAAAAACGCTAAGACGAGGTGTATTTGCGGTTTTAGTTATAAAGGTGTTAAATAAAAGGAGTTTGTTTTTAAATAGATAAAATGCGCACGAGGAATGACGTGGATAGAAATTTTATTTTATTATTTCGGTAGTTTTAATTAAAAGTGTCCTTTTAATCACACTTAAAAAAATAATAATTTTATTCATTGATAATTCTACATAATTTATTACTGTGTATTTGCTCATATAATTGGATTGATCTATTGATAATGTTATCTAAAAATTTATATTAATAACATGTAAAATCAAACAAAACAGTAGGCTATAACAAAACATAGATAAATACAATAGCAAAAAATTAAAACTAATTTGATAACTTCCAATCTGATAGTCTTGAAATTAATTTCGAAATCTTGATTATTCGTTTCCAATAAAACTTAGTCTCTGGAAAGATCCATTGAGCCAAAGTTCCCCGCATTCCTACAGGGAACAATTATCACAGACTATGTTTATCCATGTAAGCTGATCACTAAACCGCGTGATGATAGCCAGACGTAAGAACACCAATCAATAATGTTTATGGAACTGTTAAGTAGTTGTTTGCGCAGGTCAACAATGTTATTTATGGGCATAATCTTCTTTTGCGTTACTTTTTCATTGTTGATGTATTATTATAAACATAAACACTCTCTAGATCTTAGTACACATTGAAGAAGGTTACAGAACCAGAACCGAGGTTGAGTATTTCACGTACTATAATAAATAAGTTCTTGTGGCATAAGATATTCAAAGATGGTTAGCAACATCTTTATAGAATCGGAGATCTTGCTTTCCAAACCATTGTCGTTTGAGATCCACCTTAACAATATCATCACATAAGATAAGGAATAGTAATCAAAAATCAATGCAGCTAAACGAGTTTCATTGTTCTAGACATAAATACGAAAAATCCCAATGAAATATAGGAAGGCATTGGGTTTTGCAGCTACAGCTTTCCATTTCACAAAGAACTAGATTGAGTAGAACAAAGTGAAACTTTTGGCATGATCAGATCAAAGTCCTGACCGAAATCCAATGGAAATCTTTGGTTTCCTAAACCTGTTTGTAAGGCTAAAGGAAAGGCAAAAATTGACAGGCATATCAATGAGCAACTATATACCAAGTCACTGCACTGCCGTTATTGCCCATAAGATGAAATTGTACGGCCTTAGGGAACAGCTTGGATCATAACCACAGAATAACCAGAAAGAACACTGGAGGTATCGATCGACGAACATTGCCATCGACCTAGCAACGTCGATACCAGATCGTTGGGTTCCTTTCTTAAAGATAGCGGAATTTAAATCGAGGTCAAAAAATGCGATTCCTCCAACATCAAAGTAACCGACATCGTTGTACTCTCTGGTTATTCTGTGCCATAACTACAGGCAACCACGCCGCTGAATAAATTTTAACATGGATATCACGTTTACTATGTATAAACTAACATAATGTTTCAACTGCTAGGTTTATAGGTTGTAAAGTAGAGATTATAATAACTAGTCATTCTAGTTCATTAAAAGATATACCAGTTTTAAAATCTAAAATTAAAGAAAGTTCGTTTTCTTGAGAATTTTTCGCATACTTCCGAAGCTACTATCGTCGTTTCTTATTAGGAATCTTACTTCTGCATTTTGCAAATCAGGTTCAGTTCTAAACAATCACTCCCGGTTTTCTCGAAACGATTTATTAGTCAAATAGTAATAAAAATAATCAGTATGGTTTTCTTATCAAACCATAAGCACAGCAAAAACTATCGTTGTTAATTTTAAGCAATACACAAAAATGTTCCTCAAACTAAAATTGCAGCAGTTTTGCAAAATAAAATGCTTGAAGATAAACAAGTATTTTCACAAGTAAAAAAGAGTCGTATCAAAAAATGTATTTATTTCTGGTTCAAAATAAAAAAAGAAACAATACACCGCAAATCAACAAGTGTTTTATATATTTTTAGTAAAATTGATAAGAAAACTCATATTGGAGATAAAATTGTTTTGACAAAACGCAAACAAGTTAATCTAATGGTGATATCATTAATTTTTAAAGAAAACGTAATAACTTTATCTAGAGAAGGTAATAAAAATGAATATATCAAAAACTAAATCGCGGACTTAATACAAAATATTTTGAAAATCTAAGAAGCGTGTCTTTTTAGACCGGTTTTTCATTTCTGTTCGTGACAGTGAAAACGGAAATGCGTTTTACGACGTCGTCCTTTCCTATTTTGATCCAGTGTTGAAGCAATAAAGAGACTGGTTACGCAAGGTTTATGGACTCGCTTTGAACCTATTTAACCTTACAGAATATGATTCTATACAAGTATTTCAAAAATTAAAAAACATTTTTATATTAAAAATTAAATTTCAAAAAACTTACCACCAAATTTTGTAAGAGTGTCAGCCCTGAGTTTGTAACGAGGAATTTGTTCCTCGAGCAAACTGATGATTTCTACTTCAGGTAACGATTCTCCACTACAAAGTTCTAGAAATAAATAAGAAAACAAAATCAATATTTTTGCTTAATTAATAATATAATCAATTTCCTCACTCAAATACATTAATAACATCAGTTAAAACTTCTCAATTATCTCTCGTATAGTTTGTTATATATAACTATTTAAAAAGAAGAGAAATCGTTATGAAGACTAAAATAGCTTCAAAACGTACCGGTTTACAGGTTAAAACTGGCGCTTTTTACGATGGCGTGTACCTTTTACCCTACTTGGATTCGATCGATATCGTAAACCTGACCTAGATGGATCGAAAAAGTACTCGTTGGAGAGTCGGGGGCACAAGAAAATACCGGAAATGTGATTATAACAAAAACGCGATTACAGGAAACTTTAAAACTCAAATTATCGAGGAAAACCAAACCCACCGGTAATGCTAAAGTGAAATAACCGTAATATACCAGTTTTAATGATTTCAATCCAGGTAAATATCGGTTTTAATTTTATCTTTGGGCTACAAAAATGTTATCGGCGTATTTTTTTGTTATTGTTTTATATTTGCGCAATATGCCAAAAAAGAATAATATTGAGTGGACGGATTAAACCGTTTTATATTTAGTACTGTACGTGTTTATAACTGGCACGTAACAATAGATAAGAGGAAGCAAATATTTGGGCTAATAGAAATCATTCATAAAATTGTAGTTTATGTTATTTTTTTTAATTTAGTAACCTATTTAATTTAATTATAAGACTGCTTCTTTTAATTAAGTTTAATTTTATAGTTGGATTATTGTTGATTGACTTCCCGCAAGATAATGTGGCGACTTTAATCTGGTATAAAAATTATTTAAAACATAAGAGTTTCTAAGAAAACTAATCATAATCTTGATTATTAAAGGTAATATAGTAGAGATAACTGTATAGATAAATGAAAGGGAACACAACATTAGTTTATAAATGAGGTTGTCCTTGCAGAGTTTATTGCTGCCATAAAATTGTTTTATCCAACAGTCAAATTTAAATGACTAGAAAATCTTAAATGAATTTAGATATGTTAACAAGCCCCGATAATGTAGGGCAGATAATGTCGGATATATCAACATCATTATCCGATCAAAAATAAAATCGATATACGTGAAAGACGGCATGTTTAAAATTTAATATTTAAAATGATTTGCTACCATAAAGAATCCTGGACTATCAAAGAATCCGATAGAGAAAGGATTGAGCGTATTCCCTGGACAGACAACGCAATAACATATCTATACTGAAAGAGCTCGAGATCAAAGACAGACTGGCTACGTATATTTTATGCATATAATCAGAACAGATGGAGATAACCAAAAAAAATTAATAGGGGAAGGAAAAGTAAAAGGCAGAAGACCAAGGGAAGGTCGCCAACCTGGCTGGACCAGGACTTTCAAAAAGTATAAGATCGCCAGTTATAGAGAAATAAAGTAAAACAAATCCTCCTAAACATGCTATCAAAACTTCTCAGTTATGAGAATATGACGTAGAAAAGATACATAGTGCATTTGCGTTTTAGTTAAATAAAAATTAAAATATAATTATTGAATAAAACTTTAAAAGTTTACCCGGAACTAAATTCTTAACATGAAACATCATGATAAAATATTTTTGGAATTTAGGATATAAAAAATTTTATTAAGGACAAAAAGAAGGCAAATGAAGAGAGAAAAGAGATTTGGGAACTATTTTTTGAAAATTGCGTTAAGCATTTTGTTCTTTCTGACCATTTCACGGTTGATACACAACTAGAGCTACTAGGTAGAGATAACTATTCCTTTCAACAATATCTAAAATCAATAATATGGTAAAAAGATTTAGGCTGCTACCGATATCAAACCTATTTATGCAATTTGCAAGTGTGAACTTTGAGGAACTAATTAGTCTGAGGAATAATCAGAGACTGACATAAAACTTTTACGTTAAAGATAACTGAATTAAGAATTAGAAATCATACAAGGTCAAAAGAAAATCTTACAAAGTTTCTTATAATGAAAATATAAAAAATTAGGCAAATATCTACACAATGTATAAGCTGTAATAATCAGGTGGGAAGAAGATGCACAGAGTTGATAATTTGGAAATGTATTCAACAAGAACCTATCCATTATAGCATGTTCTCGAAGAAGAAAAACAATGTAACCTTAATTAGTGCTTAAATAACAGGAGTGATGATATAACTTTGGGTTGGTATGGGGTGGATTTAACCTCATATTTCTTCATTGTAAATAATAAATCATCATTCTTCATTGTTAATAAAAAATAACTTTCTTATTTACAAATAGATATAATTTAATTTAGATATAATAAATAGAGATTAAGTAAGTATAATCGAATGAACCTAACTGATCTACAACGAAAATAATTCAACCTCAACATTCCACAATTAAAATTCATACGTTAGATTACGTAACCGCGGGTGCATACAGCGTTCCGAATATTTCTAGGTCAGGCACTGTTACTAGAAATAGACCAACAGACCTCTCATCCATCCGTTCCTATTAACCATTGCACACACTCTATTGATAGATAATTCTACAAAGATATCAGTACTTAAGACACGCCATTCTCTTTGACCTGCAGTTGAGATCACGAAGAAGAATGACTCTCGAATTCGAATTGGATTTTCTACGCCTTTCTATAACCACACAGATAACTATTTTTTTAAAGATTTATAAATAAAACCATAGAAAAAGGTGTATTTGGGACATCAATCTTTCATTTGAAAAGCTTTAACTTAACATTCACTTTTAGCTATTTATTAAGGTGTAGGTGGAGATGGGAAAGGAAATTATTAATAAATTAAATCAGGATGAAACGTTTAATTTGCAATGGCGAGCTTTTAATCTTCACCGGAAAATGTTTTTAATCGTATTTAAATTTAATACCTCGTTTATTTATATAATTTGCATTTAATCTTACGGTGGGTGTGGTGGGAATGAAAATATTTATGTAATTCCTTCTTGGAGGAGTGTTGTTGTTACCATTTTTTTTTTCAAACTTTCAATGAAGTTAGTAAAAATAATTGACATTTAAAGCAAGACTTAGTCACGACTTCTTCACCTTATAATAGTACTTTTATCTACTTTGTGGGAAATAAACCTTTCGTTTTTGAACCTTCGTTATAGTTTTAATTGGAAACAATTTTAATTTGTTAATGCAGTGTATTATCATTATAATAATCATAGTGAAAACAGAATAATTTTCTTACTTAAGTATAATCTCGAGCATATGTCACGAGAATAAATGATCAAGAAAAATGTAAATTGGCTTTACTGTAATCGAATCGTGAGATAGTTTCAAGTAAAAGCAATACTTATTATAATAACACTATAACTCCTCTTATTTTCTTAGAAGCCTTATGTTAAATTTCCCTTACATGAAAATTTTTTAAAATAAAAAGAACACGGTTTCTAACTTAGAATATATCACAAAGCTAAATTGTTAATTAGTGTATCGTTAATTTTATATTTATCACAAAATTATTTAAAAAGGTTTACTTTAAAATGTTTGGAGTGCCTTTTTAGTAAAATCGTTTAAATAATTGCTTTATAATATTACATAATCAAGCAAAAATAAATTGTTTTATTTTACTACATCGTAAATTACAAATCATTTAACTGTCATAAAAACGAACAGGTCACCATCTCAATTTATATTGAACTTGAATCGAGATGATGCACTTGAACCAGGAGATGAGCTTTCTTTTGAGAAAGAGTTGTGTAACACTTATGAGGGACACATAACTTTTTAAAGCAATGTAGGTTTATGGATTAAAGAAATAAAAAAAAATAAGGTGGATTCCCCAATTTTAAACGAGGTTATTTGAATTATAATCATCAAAGATTAATTAATTTATTATCTAAAAACTTATTAGACCATGACTTAATCTGAATATTTTTTTTTAAGTTAAAAAATTTCTTTTCGAACCCCAAAAATAAAGAAACCTATTTAGAAAAAAGGTTACATTTAAAATTAACCCATTGACATCATTCTATGTTACTTAACCACCACCGTGTATCATTCATTCAAAAATAACTGACCTGAGTTGATTGGCAAATTCGTTGAAGACAACTTGAAATTATTTTTAAATAAGCGAAATACTTATTATGCTTGACAACAATTCAAAAATTTTTGAATAAAATTAATTTATTTGCAGCAAAAGGGATCGATCGCGCACTCGGATGGATATCGAGAGCGAATGTTGAAGAAAACTGACAAGAAACGCGGTATCGAGTAAGCGAAACCAGGTGAACGACTACCGGTGTAGTTTGGTCTGGCTTCAAGAACTGGAAGGTTGCTGAAGAAAGGTCCGGAAAATTGGAAGGAGAAATGAAAGAGGTGGAGGAAGAAATATAGAAAAGAAAGATAAAGAAATTCATGAAAAGATTTTAACACAAATAAAATTAAAAAGAAATTACCTAATTATATAATTTGTACTTTCATCTATTTTATATTTATTGTTTCCTTTCAAATAAGTTCTCTAATAATTCTTCTAATTAAAAGATGATTGACGCAACAAAACCTCCTCTTTGACATGTGTTAAGACGCCTACATAACAATAGGTGCTAACTCAAAAAAGGGAAAAGAACTAAGACAAAAAAATCATTTCCTAGCCCAACCAAGTAGAACGGATCCCAAAACTCTAAATTTAAATACGACGTTATCTTCCAATCGAAGTATGAATCACTCGTTACAAATAAAAAACGAATCACGTTATTAGGTCATTGTAAAAGCATTGATAACTTTTGTAATTTTAAATTAGCTTTTACTTAAAACTAATTAACTCCCAAGTTTTTTCTCACACCTTCTCTCTAAATGGAAAAAAGAAAGGAAGAGGATGAAAAAAATGGTTCAACAGCCTCTTCTTCGTGTTGATGAAAAGAATCGAAAAAAAATCGAGTGAAAGTGATCGCGTATACACACCTATCGAAGGTCGTTGACGTTGAAGACCCGAAATTTAAACAAATGTAAATGATACAAATTGATTTAAAAAAGCAAC